GGAACGCGATTTCGATTAAAGGATTAATTATAAACGCGAAGCTCGGTATTACACACGTTGGAACTATATTCGCGCGCTTTGCCGAAGTACATTTTACGGATACATCCCTCTCGCGCGTCCACTTCTCGAACGTGCGCGGGAAGGTATATGGAAGCGCGAGTGTCTCGAGGCTCTGCGTGCGTGGTAGCCCACATGAAACAAAGGGCTTTACCGGCGTTTGGTCACACTATCCTGCACGGGCGATCCAATGGACAAAAGGACTCTGTCTCTCTATGCACACAGGAAGTCTCATTGTATCTGTTTAGCCGACCAGAGTACACGTGCATTTGCAGATGGCTTACCAGCTCGCGAGCCCGGCCTACTGCTAAATTTATCCCTTTCAACACGAAATTATTCCCCTCCTTGGCGAGAGCGCCTCGTCCTTCTGCCGCGGGGAGATGAAGCATCTCTCGGGACAAGAGACAATGGCAACTATTCGACGTTAATTCAAAGTGCGCTCTCTACGAGAGAGTGCCGTAAAACGAGAGAGTGCAGTCTGTATATATGTCCCGCGCTCTCTCCCGCGATGATAAATCCGATCCGCCATAATGCGAACAATAAGCCACGCACTCGGCCGCGCTGTCGAACAGAATGGCGCATGATATTTAAAAATCAAGTCGGACATTGGCGCGTTGCTAACATGCTCGCATATTCCGTGAGCGATCGAACTGTTACTCGTGGCGGGGCGCGGGGGAGCGTGCGGAAAGGGCATGGCCCGGCGAGAGTGCGTTGGTATACGCGAATGCTCGTTTGGTTATCTAATTCTGCTGGAAGTTAGGCACCTATCGCGCCGCATGCAAAGTGCATTTGAGAGGGTACGCCGGTGCGGTTAGTTACAAACGTACGGCAGATCCATCGCTGATTCGAAGCAGATTTGTTGGGGTAACAATGCGCGCACATACAACCGCGCGCGGCCAACGCCGTGCCGACCCCCGCGCTGTCGATGTCGGTGCGCGCAAGCCGAGCAGCAAATTCCTTTACGTCAAACTATGCCGTTGTCTGCTGACTTGCGATTAGAGTAAATTCCGGAAGTGCAAAGAATATTTGACGTCCCTCGGCACGACGGGAAAGGGTCTGTCAATTTAGCATCTTATATACGTTGAATACATCAATACACAAATCTTGCGCGATTAAATAATTATTGATTTCATGATTTTCCCAATGATTTCCACGACCGCGAAGAAAAAACGAGAAGGGCTTTTTATTAACGCGACTGTGGATTTCTTTTGTCCGATTGAATTATTAACGATTCAGCAAAATAGTTAATTCCATCGAAGAAAATTTAATGATATTTGATATTACTAACAAGATTTGTTTGAAATAATTTGGATACGGTTTGAAATAGACTCAGACGAAAATTAGATTAGAGTCCATTTCTAGTCATCACCGAATACCACCGAATAAATTATCAAGGAAGAATATTTGAGTATCTGCATTCGTAACGTGTGAAACGCGCATTTTCTATCCGGAAAGAGAACGAGAGAGAATTGTTTTATCGTTTAATGCATATGCAACTCTAATTTAAATGACAGAAGCATCTGTCAGGACACGTCAAAACCATGCATATTATCAAAAATGCAAGTACAGTAATGCCCGAATGTATGCAAAGTAGGTAAAGTATACAGAAACTCGCTATACTCGTTATATAAATAAATATGAACAGCGCGATAAAAAGTCATAATGCAAAATTCCCAATTTCATTAATATGCGCATTTTTCCTTAGGGAAAATATGTAATATTTCAGAATAAGAAACTTTATTTTTTTTTACATGTAACAATAAGGGGAGAAAAGAGTCAAATTATTTAATCTTTTATATCCGTATGTATGAACAAACTAAAAAGTTAAATACAATGTAAGATATTTTATTTTCATTAAGTTAGTACGTGCTTTTATTCTCACCATTAATCATTTTGCTATTAATCATCCAGAATTTTATACTATCAACGTGAATCATTTTCTGCAAACAGATTTATTTCACTTCAAAGTAATGATAATCGAATTTCATGATCATTTTCCGCTCACCAAAATAACATGCTCTTACACTTTAATATTGCAAATAAATATGCATATTCCAAGTTATAAGATTAATAATACATATTTCAAATTACGTGAATCTGGGTTAATTGTCGGTTTTCGTCCGACTTAATTTTCGATATCTATCTCACGTGAATATTCTGTGTGTGCCATGATTCGCGAATTTTATATGAAACGTATTATGCAAACTCGAGCATTACTCTACAGATAACAAATAAATTCACTCACCAAGTTGCATCGGCATCGCGTTGTGTGCTGCAAACGATTTTGTACGATTATTAATTATAATTCAACAATTATCTTTTGTACGATGGCAGATTGTTTTATTACATTCCATTATAAATTTATTTTCTCCACTTTATGTTAAAAAATTGTTAATTTAACATGATTTGTTACCGACTAAATAAAAATAAAAATAAAAATTCTTTTCGTTTAATTTTCCAATTTAATTTATTAAAAAAAAATATGCAGCCAAAAATTAATCTTTATTTATGTAGCGCGCAAAAATACTTTAATAAAAACAGATAAATAGCTCTTAATAAAAACAGATAAATAGCTCTAACAATTATTTTAAAAACAAAATGAATTTTTTTACCAGCCAATGATCGTTGTTCAGCTTCGCCAGCTTCTGCAACCAAGTTGATTGTTGAAGCTTCATTTTCCGGGACACTCACGAAAATGAAAAACGCGAAAAAACACGACTACGATCGCGTAGAAAACTGTTAACGACACTCCCGAATTTCAATACTAGATTTTCTCGGCACTCCCGATTGTTAATAGTCGACACTCCCGATACTCCACTCGTGATACTCCGACTCCTCGATCGCTCGGAGATACAGCCGCACATCCGCCAGCCACGGCATCTAAATAACACACAACAACGTAATCATACAACATAATTATATGCGAAGCGAATAATGCGAGGCATACAAAGGAACTTGGGCTGTAACGGTGCGTTAAGAGAATTGAGAGAGCGATACGGTTAATCACAATTCCGTATCATTATCGTGCGCGCTAACATGCATAATAACGATACTAATAATCCTAGGGAATGATCATTGCCCGTAGCACTTGGCACGAGATTAAGATTCATACGCCGTTCGTTCGACGCGAAAAGATATACGCACGTTGCTCCGCGCGTTCGTCCGGGCGTCCGGCGAATGCGACGCGAAGTGTTTACGCGGGAGCTTGCGACCTTCGACCTTGTCAAGACGCGCCGGCCTGCTCGGCGCTTGGCTATCACATTGAAAGCACGCAATTGATAATGGAAACGTGTAACGAACGCGCGCTACGTGTAACAGTGTCGGGCGAGCCGGTGGCGCGTCGCAATTGTATACGTATGTATGTACCTGTCCTTGAGTTATGGACGTGTTTCAACCTCGTGCCGAGTGCCACAAGCAACGACTGCTGTGAGACAATTAGTGCGTGTAATATAAACGCGCGTCTCTCGCGATACTATGACGCCCGCGACGACGTTCAAGCTTTCCTCGTCCGTTCACGAGAGAGTGAGAGGTATCGATTGATCAGGTAACCAGCGATACGTAATATGTAATATATCAGACCTTTTAGCCGCGCGCCTCGCGTTACACGCTCAAGCGTTTGAGATGTTTGTCACAAAAGCAAGTAGAATGAATTGAATGAATAAAAGCTCGCGCTGTTAATTTTATGATATTATTTTATGTCCATTAATGTGGAAATATTAATATGGAAATCGGAATAGTGTGTTCCGATGATTGTGCAGTTATGAGTTTATTTAAACGAGATCCATTTAAATATTATCGTTAAATATTACAATGTTTATTAAATATTACAGTGTTATGTTCTCTTTTATCGGTAATTTTAAGGATAATTTTTTGTATGTAACTAGAAGGTTAATAAAAATATTATGGATATTGTATAAAATTACGAAATATGTCTGCATTAAAAAATATACTAAGACATTTTTTTTGTAATTATCATGTTTCTCACTTTCGATGTATTGTCATTTTATAAATAATACTCTCACTTTTAAACTCAATTATGCGATAAATTTATACAAAATAATAAATAAATATAAAACAGTAATAAAGAAATAATACCATGCGAGTCGACACGGATGTTAATATAAAAAATACTATATATTTTCGGATAAGATATATATATATATATGTATATGTATATACTTATTTATTTTGAAAGAAAATTCAGTATTCACGTCAGAGAGAGAATTAAATTCACGTCTCATCTCGACAAGAATGCAAATACATTCCTGTTTCAGTAAAGCATCCTCCTGTAACTTCGCGGAAAATAAGTTTGACACAGCTACCGAGTCCACCTCAAGTTGGACATCAGATAACACTGTTATAAAGGCCAAACTTTGGCTATCTGGAGTTTCTTTGCCTATATTGTAGAACAAAATTACGGGACATCGAATATTCTCGTTTGAAGTATGATTAACACCGGGAGAGCAATTAAGCTTAAATTACGAGCCGGGACAAAAGACGAGAAATGAAATGAATGCATCTCTTGCGTAAAGTTGCGAAACTTTTGACAAGGTAGTCTGAGAGAAATATTCTGTCAATGTCCAACACGTCCAAGTTTTTAGCCGTTCCCTTAAGAATCGCCCTTCGCGATTGTGACGCTTTGTCTTTTCGTCGCGGGCGAAACGACCGCGAGAGAGCGGACGGTGTAAAACAACTTTATTGGAGAAGTGTTTGATGGGAGTTTCCCGGGAATATATTCCGCGCGTCACACACACACACACACACACACACGCGCGCGCGCGCGCGCGCGTGAAGGATGTGCGTGTGTTCCGCCGGAATAAGTTTATCCGACTGTTTTACATGCGAGGCACGTCGTGTTTAGCTTAAGAAGTTTAAAAGGCGGAAAAGTCAGGCGGGCGTATGCACATACAAGTAATCGATCGATATCTTCATTTCCCTTCCAGGCACAACGACCTACCCTGGAACATACGGAAGTTCCTGAAGAACCAGCTGAGGGAGTTCAGGTTTGATGACTTAAGTGACATTCATCCCTGGTCACGGAGCGCCTGGAGCCACACGGACCTCAAGAGATTGAAACAGGGCATGGTTGCGGCGCAGGTGAGTTTAATAATAACGACGGTGGTGAGAGAGTTCGTCAAAGTTATCGACCGAAGTTACGCTCGATCTAATGCGGGACTGATTGAACGCGCGGGAAATTTTTCGTTGAGCAAACATGCACAGCAGCCTCGCTGTATATAGGTACGCGATTAATTAATTTGCTGTCGATATTTACGCAGAGTCTAATGGCTCAGATTTTAAAAGTGGAAATCTAATAATTCGTTGAATGACCTGACTTTCGCAGAAAGATACTTCGGGGAGATGAACAAGAAGGACCGTAAAACTCTTAAGAAGATTATTGGAAAGCTGCTTATATCGTAATTTCTTGAATAACGTTAAATATCTTGATCGGGTTTTCATTGCTTTAATTAACGCGCATTAAGTACGCTCATGGGTGTTTCTACTGCTTTTTAATACTGCGATTCTTCACATTAGGGATTTTGCGTAAAACTAGTAGATATGATTATTCATTGTCCGTCAGAGCGCTGCGTCACGATAAGAGAGAGACGACCGAATAAAAAGAACAAAAAAAGAGATAACGTTGTTGCGGATTAATCTCTCTCTCTCTCGGTTTTCGAAAACAGACCTGGCAATTAGTCGAGCTTAACATGCGATTTTCGCCAACTTCGTCGCTCGCAGCTCGCGAGAGTGAAAATTAAATCCACGCGAATGAGGGAATCGCATGTCGCCTTGAAGCCACAGTACCGCCAAATTGCAATTAAATGTTCGCACGTAGAAACTCTCTCTCTCTCTCTCTCTCTCTCTCTCTCTCTTCTGGCAGAGTCATCGACAATTATAACTAATTTAAAGTCGCGTTAATCCGCGTCTGATTTAAATTTACAAGCGGTTGTCGACTCGCAGAATCGCATGCAGTTTAGTCGTTCGCCGATATTGCTACGAAAATGCCTCGCTTCTATGTATCCCGTAAGCTTGTTTTGTTCGTGGCGAGCAAGGGATTATTAATTTATAGCGTGCCGCGTACGTAACTCGGCTATAAATCAAACAGCAGTGGTGGCGCGCCTAATAGCAATTAATCGATTTTACGAAGATTTCACGCTTATGTTTTAAATGCGAATATGCGTGGCGCGCGAACGCGTCATTTCTCAGCGCACCGATTTTCGTGCGAATTTCGTGATTTCGCGACAATAACGTACGATTTGCGATTCGCTAAAGGGATGGAATACGCGCTGCGAAATGTACGACGCGGGAAGGGAAAGAGATTAGGCTACACATATCGTATAACATTAATATAGTAATACAAAAATTAATTATCTCGGCCGTGTGTTACACCATGCGGAACAACCCCGTGAGCGAAATTTGCCGCGGACACCCCCAGCGGGATTATCCGGCAGATTCGATCGTCCGTGAACCGTGAATTTAACGAATATAAATTTGATCTTTCCCCGATCGCGCAGTTAAAGCTTTCACGCGCGACGCTTCCGCCGGGCGATCGTTAATAACGGGGATTAATCTAAAATCGCAATTAAGATCTGACCGTAAAAAATCGCCTCTCGGTTCAATTAACGGCGGAAACGGCTCTTTAACGACCCGAGGAAAATCGTGGCGAACTTGGGCAATTAATTTCCTTCGGTTGCCCGCCGTGCTTCACGTGCCCGCCGAAAATTTACCACGACACGATCGGTTTCCTCCTCCTTTCCTTCTCCTCCCCCCCCCCTCTTTCGGCCCCACCCGAAATACCTTCGATTAATCCCGCGAAAATCCCTTCCCGAACACGGCTCGGGTATCGTATCGAATAAACTTCGACATAGCGCGCGAAACTTTGCACGAAGTCGGAGAATCTCTATCGAACACCGACTCCCGATCGCATTCGCGGTCGCCTAAAGGGTTCGTTAGAAACAGATAAAGGGTAGACAAATCAGAGTAGTGAGAGAATCAAGAGAAAAATTTTGACGTATCAACAGCACGTACTTGGAGGTATAATAATTTTTCCAGAAGGAAAACTTTTCCTTCTGGAGAAAAAGTATGCGTAAGTGTTCGAGAAAATAAAAGATTTCATCAATCGATTAGGATGAAATATTGCTTAAATATGCACTTTGAATAATACGAGTACCCGAGACCCGTCTCGATAGGTGCCGGCGTATAAATTTCTTTTATACGAAGATTTTCTTCAACTCCAAATGTTCTCATTATCAAAAATTACTCCTCCTTTGTGCGCGGCAAGCTTATTGCGTTTAAAGTAGCTCTCTCAAAGGAGAGAACGGAGGCTGCGTGGAGAATTTATTTACGGTACTTGAAGCGCCCGCGCGTTAGCAGAACGTGCCTCTGAAGACGCGAAGTGCATAGTCGAGAGTTAACACAGTAGGGAGAAGATAAAGACGCGTATACAGTCGCGCGGTGTATGTGTGTGTGTGTGTGTGTGTGTGTATGTGTGTGTGGCCGCGCAAAGTAGTCCAACGCGGCAAGTTTCGGGACGCGAATGTGGATATAAAGATATTCCTCGAAAAAAGTATTCGCACGAATTTGGCGTTGCGCGCGTATGTGTAGATCGCTACACGCGGTCCATTCAGACGAGGATCTTGGCTCGTGTGTTAAATAAACGATGTGACTCACGCAGTAAACGCGGTAATAGCGCGGGGAGGTGTACCGGTCGTAGACTCGCGCGATATAGCGCGCGAATCCATTTAAGAGCCCCCCCCCTGTCCCCCCCCTCGTCCGCCGATATCGAACGAGAACGAAGCGTGCGTCCCATATACACGGGCCCTATACATTCTTAAATACATTGAATCTCGGATTAAATCGGAAGGAGGATTACGGGATTTTCGGTCTCGCTGATACCGATATTCATTTTCGAGGTGTCGCGCGGAAGAGGGAGTTTCCTTTCCCATTTCCCTTCCCCTCGCCTCCTTCCTCTCCGTAAATCCGCGTTTTTTTTTTCTTTTGTTGTCAAACGCCAGGCTGGAGGACCGCACGCGCGGGACGTTAAAACGCTTCTTCTTCTTCTTCTTTTTATTATGGCGCCTGCTCTCAGTTGAGAGTTAAGTCGGCCAAACGTTAAAACGCAATTGCGAATTAACGGGGACCCGCTGTTGCTCGCGCGCCACGCTACGGGAGTAAGTAAATAATACATCGCGGGAGATTACGTCTACATGAAACTTTCAGTTACAATGGAACTCGCGACCGAAGCGGGCGCGACGCGGGATGCAGAAATCGAGCCTCGTGCCCTCGACGACGTTGCGTCGGATGAAAGCGTAATGTCGAAGATCGTTCGATGTATATCCCTATACGTCGTGCGCGCGTCCCTCGGGATGGGAAGGAAATTTCTCGGGAGACCCTTTGAAAGTACCCATCGTTCTCGTTAGCAAAGACAGTGCTCGGGGGTGATCCTCAGCTATTGAGCGCTCCCGTTCTCGCGCCCGCTTGTAGCGATGAGCAGAGGCGCGATTAAGGGGGTAGCCGTTGCCGCGAATCCGAAAAGTCGGAGGCTCTCGCGGCGGCGTGGAATACGGCACACCTTTGAAAAGGAGAGATCGAGCGATCTTAGTTAGTTGCTCACCTTACTGTTAAGATATCCGCTTACCTTGCAGCGCGAGGGAAGCGCAAAGGGAGGGGAAAGGGGAAGGGGGAGAAGCCAAACGAGCATCCACCGAGCTAACGAGAAGACGTGTAAATGCGCGCCATTTACCGTCGTTCCAACGTAATGAAATCATTAATGTTATTAAATGGAATATTAATTCGATGCATAATGAGTGGAGAGATGCTAGTAAAACGCACCCGCATACCGTCGTGTTTACCGTGCACTCACGAGCACAAAACATAGGTACCGCCCCGCGCGCGCGTTACGTGCAATTTTTCATAATTAATGCCAATCTATGATTGCGCGTCAAGGTTCGCGAGGCGCGCGCGGCGTAATAACGAGGAAAAATTATGAGGATGATAGCCCGCACAACAATGGGTCGGATGATTACGCGAGAAACTTTTTCAAAGATATCACATTTTTATGCGAAACAATTAATAACGCAATTAAAATCGGAATGCGGCTGACGGGAGAATTTTGTAATTATGTGCCATATAGAAGGCGCGTAACATGAAATATCGCTCAGAACGTCATTAATAATAATATAGAAAGCATGCGCGATCCCATCGTGCTGTCCGATCGGATTTATATAACTTCCAATTTTATTAATAATTCAAATTTTATCAACGATATAATTTTCTAAACGTGATTATGTAGCCTTATTATGTTGAAACCTCCAATATTAAAAAGGGGAGCCTTAATTTAAAAAGATCGTAGAGTCTATAGAAATTGTCAGATTACGTTTCAATCCCTGCAGTAGCACGCCTGATCGGTATCGTGCTGTCCGATCGGATTTATACAACTTCCAGTTTTATTAATAATTCGAATTTTAGCAACGATATAATTTTCTAAACGTGATTATGTAAACGGTCTTTACGTTGAAACCTGCAATATTAAAAGGGAGGGGGAGAGGGCCTTTGAGGGGATCAGCAGAGCCTATGTATTTCGGATTATGTTCCGACCCTCGACAGATCCCTTAAGGTATCCGGCCTGCCAACGTCAGGACGAAAGGGATAACCACTCGGTTATGTCCATTGGGACGAACGCGTGTACACATTCATGTAACATGTACATAACGCGCGTGTACGCCGAGTGTATACAGCAGCCAAACCGAGGCAGCGCCCGCCTCGATCTATCACTGTCCTGGTTAATTCACAGACGGGCTGGCGGTATCCGCGTAGCGGAAGGTTACTCACCATTGATCGCGTGCCGTCGACTTACATAAGAATCTTACACGGGCATCGCGGCATTGACGAGATTTTCCCATCCTTTTTCGTCCGACGACCGCTTTTTCGATCGAACGCCCGACGGCACGGAGCACAGACGTCAATTTCGCCGTTACAATATTAAAATTTCGTGCGCTATTCGAATAACACGCGACGGTCCTTCCTGTATACAACGTTTTTCCAGAAGCGTTTTTCTCGAGAACGGTCTTATTTATTTGGAGAGGCCATTTCTAGCGTATAAAAGAGAGTCGAAAACATCTCGTTACATCCCCGACGCACACCAGCGCGCTCGTCGCAGAATTCAAAGAGTTACGTGTGACAGGTACTTTCGTTTGAAACCCTCGGGCTGTCTATCTCGAGAAACCTTCGGCACTTCCGGCACATCACAAATCGCGAAAGTGCATTCCAACTTGAGATGAGTCGGGCCACCCCTCCTCGATTTATCGCGCCGGTAGATCCTCGGTGGGAATTTGCGTTACACTTTTCGGCGACTTCGTCGCGAGAGAAGCAATTCGTACGGACGGCAGGAAATTTAAGTCTCGCGAGGTTGTTTCGGAATTTTAGATACGGAGGAGGGAGACCGATGGAGAAGATGGAATACCAACGGCAAAACACGATTTCCATCTCCTTCTTTTTTATGTATACATGTAACTGTGACGAAATTGAATTTCCATTATTGTCCCGATATCTCATTATATATTTTCACAGTCGATAACCGAATGAATGCAATTGTCTTCCGCATATCGATTGGTTATTTCCTGAGGAGTTGACATAATTTTTGCTTTGTTTCATCAAAATTTTTAAAATATTCAAAACTTTTAAAAATGTGTAAAAATTTCAAGGTATTTAGTATAATTATTAAATTGCTCAAAAAGCTTTTCAGATTTTCTAGCATTTATAGAATTTTAAATGTTAATTAAAGTTTTACGATAATTCCTTGAAAACTTGTATGAAACAAGAATGACGTGCAACTATGTTATATTTTGAACAACGGAGGCAAAACAGACACTGCAACACGGGATACCTTTAAAATTTACACGACGCCGCAGATGTGAGAATTAAAGCAACGCGATGAAAAAGAAAGCAGTTTTTTTATAATCGATTCTCATGTGCGGCTTTCCGCGAAGTCTGCAGTCTCTCTTCACGGGGTAAGTTAAAACGGCCGTCTTAATAGCCAGCTCGCCATCGTACACAGCCACAAAATTGCTAAAACGTACATAAGAGCGACGGCCCTTACGGCCACAGCTCGCCTTTAAGTGGAATCGCAGACGCGACACGTTCTATACACGCGGCGGAGAAAGAGAGAGAGGAGAGTATTTTTACGAACGCGTCTGACCTAAAACTCGCCGTGACTACTGCTCGTTCTTGCGCGCGGCTGAGCGCGCGTAGAGGTGCGGGAGGGCAGGGAAAAAGAAAGCTCACGTATACACGCGCACACCGAGAGACACGTTCTCTGCGAAACGTCTGACCTAAAATGCTGCGGTAACCGCTTCCTTACAGTGTCCGAAGGACGGCGGGTGGGACGCGCGAGGAGGGGGATGATTGTGCGCTAATACAGATGTCAGTACATTCCGCTTAATATCCCTGCATTTTCTCCGATGCAAGATTACGTAGCTCTCCGTTCTTATAATCCTGTAAAATCACGTTTCTTCCGCACCGCGCCGTGACGTTCGAAGTTAAGATTTCGGGTCGAAAATTGAGATTGCTGATAAAGCGACCGCGAATCCGAGACTGTGTCCGTTTACAAGCGAACGTATCGTATGTCATGTATAAAAGAGTAACAAAATTACAAATGCCATTAATATAATATTATATAATATGATATAATATATTTTGTCCATTAATGAACGATTCCAACGATAATGCTCGTCTATACACAAACAAAAAAGTAATGTTATATATTAACAATATTAGCCAACAGCAGTCTGACTAAAAATAATCTTGTTTGTTCGATAACAGTATTAATGAAACAATATAATATTTTATTAAGACAAGAGCATGACGTATTTGTTTCATTATTACTGTCATTAAATTAAGAAGATTATTTTCAATTAGATGCTATCGGCCAACGCTGTTAATTACAGCATTATTTTCTTTCCCGTGTATAGTTCGATAATGAGAAGTCCAAGTCGTTTCTTTTTCCGATCCATAACGCCGCAAAGTAGTTACCCAGCTATATACAAAAGTAATTAGAAGTTAGAGTTAGAAGCTTCCGTCTCGCCGTTTGACGCAACCGGCATTAAACCGCGAGCGTATAGGCTGAACTTTCCGTTGAATTATTTACTCGTCGCAATTAGCCGTCTCGCGGAAGAAAGTCGCCGAAGTATACTCGAAATACAGACGTAGTGGAAACGTAATTATACGAGGGCTGGCATCCGCACGCGATTAAAACCCGGTCGCTACTGTAGCGGGGCGTCGCGACTCGCGCCAAGAGATGCAGTGTTTCTGTCGGCGGCAGAGACATCGGAAGCGGACGGCGAGAGACGAGAAAAAGCGGAAGTGTCCTCGCTCCTTCCTCCGTGTACATTGATTTACGACACCGCGACGGTAACCTCACGCTTCGGGCATAAATTTCGTCCGCGTTGTTAAATAAAACTTCCCGGCCCCGACGACGACGGGGACGGCGACGCGCGATGCCGCGACACTTGCGCATAATGCGGAAAATTCGCGCCGAAGTAAGACACCTCGGCCTCGGTTCCGCGACCGAGGGTCGCAAGAACTTAATGTTTCTCATTTCCAAGTTCCGACGGTGTCGTCTGACGGGGCCCATCAGCCAGCGGTCTCTTGATAGGAATTTATTAACTTCGCTTAATCGCGTTTTCTCGTTTTCCCTTCCGAGAAAAAAAAGTGTGTGTGTGTGTATAATGTGTGTGAAGCACGGTGAAGGAAGGAAATCTAATCACCTGCTTGTTTGACCACGATTGATAAACGTCTAAAAAATGCGCATAAATCACGTAACGTCAAACGGATGTCGTAACGAGTAGGAGAAACTAATTATATCGCCGTATACACGACGATCTCGCGTGACGGGGGCAGGGAAAACAGGGAAATCGCGATCTTCGTATCGCGTGTGCCTTTCTCAAGTCGCGCTGTTAATTTTTTGCGACGTCAAGTACGTATATATACGTGCCGTGCACGGAGCCGTAACCTTAAGAGAGACAGCAGCACACACATTCGGGGAACATTGAAATTATTCCGTACCGCGCGCCGTTATATTCTCTCGCATTGAATTGCATTACAAAGGCACTCTTAAAGTATTCGTTATTTATGATCGTCGCCGATACCAGGCTATTTAAAATGCAAATTATCCCTCCCGTGCGTTTGTAGACTATACTTCGTAATACGCATTTAATTACTCCTACCTTATCAGATGCCGGATTAAAACGGAGTATTATATGTGTCAGAAATATCTCGTAATTAGAATACGAATGCGATTAATGCTATCGCAGTTTTAAACGCGCAAGGTAAGCCCGCCCGCACGCGCGCGCGAGCCAATATTGTATAAAGATAATCCGTTGCAATAAATCGCGACATTTTTATCGATTTTAACTTTAGTATAAGAACGGCCTACTTTACATTACAGTACCGTCATATAATATGTCCATTAACATAATAAATTCCATAAGGTTTGTCGATACAAAATTTCCATATTTTTGAAATAATTAAATAATAATCAGTTTTGCATTTTCCGTTTTGTTTGTTGTATATGAATTAAAGTAAAATACGAGTGTTTTATACGGTCCTTGCGTGAATTAAACGATAAATTGAAGGGCAACAATTGTGTTGGCTAACCCACAACGTAGCCAAATATGCGATAGAAATGGATGGTACTTTTCCACTGCTTCAACTTTAGAATTCATTTTCTTCGACTTTACAAGACGGCGGGTTAGCTGCGACTGTTGCAGCGAGCCCTTCAATTGATAAGTGCGATTTAACTTACATATATCTTTCCGCTTTATTGTTGCAGTTCTGGTCCGCGTACGTGCCCTGCTCGTCGCAGCATCTCGACTCGGTGCAGCTGGCCCTGGAACAAATTGACCTTATTCGCCGATTGGTCAACAAGCACGCGGACAGTATGGTGCTCGTTACCACAGCAGAAGGTTTGTATATACTTTCATTCCGCCCTTCGTTTACGAGCTCGTGAAATGCGGCGGTAAAATCAAGAATGCATAAGATATTAGCTCGTACTTAAACGCAGAGCGACCTGCGAGAAAATTCGCCTTCCCCCTCTCCCCCTCCCCGGCGATACATCTGGCATACGGCCAACTCGATTCGCGACCTCAGCCTCGTTCGATATACTCGGAATATACTTTCGATTGTGAGCCACGCACGATCGGCGCACTTCGCCACGTGGAAAAATATGTGAACGACGAACGACGGTCCACGCGAGAGAGCTTTCGAGAGCCATCAATTTAAAATACCCGCTATTTTTCACCTGACGGAGGGAAAATTTATTCACCTCGAATTACAACGAAATATTCCACTTAACCCTTTAATGCCGGCCATATTACTTGATAATCCGAGTTTCGCCTGGAGATTAATGTGTTACTCGGCGCTGGATCAATCTTGCATAATTGCTCGCTATATCAATCTACTCTTCCCCAACGGGCCCGGCTAATGTTTAAAGTTACAGAGACAAAGTCCACACGGTAGATCTTCGCCCCCGCCGTCCGTGCAAACAGATATTTTTCTTTTTTTTTTTAGATCCATCCTATGAAATTTTTGTTCCCTCTCGGCCGTTATCCGCGTCCGCACTCTGCGCCGCGCCCGCGACCTTTTCCCGTAATCTCTCCGTGTCTCGCATGTTTCGCATGCTGATGGATATTCACGAAAATAAAAACACAGCATGAAAATGTCGCCCCCGGAAATGTGTCGTCTGCAGCACGTGTTTCGCTACGTCTCCCGGCGTCTGGAGCCGTGGCGGAATCGCTATATGGCATTAAATTTTCATTGTCGAATCGTGTTATCTATTTCCCGCTTCGAGCTCTCGACATCCCTCGACATTCGGGATCCCTTGACACTCCGAAGGCGAACGAGAATCGTCATTTTCCATCCCACCCTCCTACGCTCCTCGCGCTTCGTTCGCCCCCTCCATCATCTTCGCTATCCGGATTCTTTCTCTCAAAAATTCAGAATGCACTTTAGACCGTGTGGAGAAGAAGCGCGATCCGGGAAAACGAGCAATCGCTTTTCCAACGGTAAGAAGCATCTTTCGACCTCGTCGAATCCATTTCAGGACGAACCGCCGATGAACAGTCGAGTTTTCCAGGTGCGATGTTCCACTAAAGGATTGGAAGAAAAAAAAACGAGAGTGTAATAAGATCGATCCGGGGGGAAACGTTTCTCTCTCGCATCGGTTCTTCTCTATTTTTAAAAGCGAAATTCCCACACAGAGAATCGAGGTCTCTCACGCAGCGCGGAACAAATTTATTGATGCCATAAAAAAATCTGATGATGATCCAATACGTTCGTATTGGTAAAAATATAGTGTACTATTTTGATGGCACGTTTTGAAAATCACATTTATACGATAAATTTTTATGCCACTTTGCTCCATGTTCGTTACTGCCGCATCGCAACAGCAGATCGTTACAGCTACTGAACTTGTCAGTTTTTCATTTCTTTTTTTTTTCCACTTGGATTAAATAATGATAATAGTATTATCTATTAATTTCTCTTATGCAAAAAAAAAGAAATATTTGTCCACTGAAATTTTAATAAAAGTCAGGGTAATTTAAAAAAATTAAAAACTTGTCTTAAAATATTAAATTATTAGAATGTGTTCGAATAAGTTATTCTTTTATTTTAAAGATTTTTGTAAATGTGTCACATAAATTTTCTTTTCATTTTTACGATAATTTACTAGTAGTAATACTTTCATAGAATTTATTTATTAAAAAAAAAGAAACAGCTGTATTTACTGTTATATTTAATTCTGCAGCTGTAAAGCTCGTAGCGTTTCGACATAAACATTATCGTAGTATAGACACGAGATTTCGTAGATCTTCCTTCGGCATGCAAAAATTGGTGAATCGATGAAAGAAAGAGTGGAAGAAGTCGACGACAACGACGATTACAACATGATGAATCTGTCGACGTCGTGGAAACAAGAAAAAGAAACGGACAGTCTCGGTAAATAGAGTCGCTTTATCGATTGACTTCCATTTGTCGTATGCATTTCCAAGGAAAGACGGATTCGCGGAGACGGATTATAGTGAGAGAGGTTTATCAAGTTTGATATTACGGGAAACAGTCATTACGCTTCTGTCTCTCAGCAGGCATTATATGAATAGAAATTACGACCCCTCAGGCAACGAGTTTCAACCAGACACGAAATTAAGCGATATCGACGTATTGCATTATATTAAAATGTTTTAGAATATTTATTCAGTGGAGCCTTTGATAAAGTTATTCCGAAGAAGTTAAAGCGACGGAGATTGAAGCGCATTTTGTTAAATATAGATCGGGAATTATCTGGTATAGAAAATTCCATACAGATTCCTGAACTCTAATAGAATACATCGAATTCTTTTTTCGCTTTTAATAAATAACGTATAAAATTCTTGCCATAGCTCTTCGCCGCCTCCGGTTGCTATTGTTTCTCTCTTAACTGTTCCGTTGCTTTCGAAACTATTGCTCTCTCCCCTCTCTCTCTCTCTTTCTCTTTCCCCTGTCTCTCCCTGTTATTTTTAATGCGTCTTATTTTGCAAGGATGTATACGCGTCAGACGAATTCCTAGAAAATTTCCTATATTTGGTGAGCAAATATTTGCTGCTGGATTTCGTCGTCCCGCTGTCACAATGCGCGCTGTCTAAGCGTAACGCAAATCCGATGGGAAGATGATGGGAACACGCGAGGAAGATGCGCGCCGGATGGTAAATTCCGACCGGAATGGAAAAATGTCGGTCCGGCGTTGCCGACCGACGTGCCATCGTTCGATAACCCCCTCTCCCCTCTTGGAATGTCGACGACTGCATGTCGCCGTGGCGCATCCATATGCAAATGAACATAAAATACGCATACGTACGTTCGTACATACGGACAGCTGATTGTACGAAACCGACAGTGCGCGCGTCGCCGGGGAAATTTTTCCGACGCCGCGCGCTGATTAAAAAGGCCAAGGTATCTCGGAGAGTGTTAGACGCTCGCGCCGCGTAATTCTACGCGCATTTCCGTTATTCTGTATTTTCGCGTGATATTTTCGAGTGTGTCGAGAAGTCTCGAGGCGTGACATCTCCGAAGAAAACAATTTTGCACGTGCCGCACACCTACCTACGAGGCTCGCCCGAGTGTATCTGCCTCCTCGATGGACGAAAGAGAGGTCGCGTTTAATTTTCGGAAGACGACGCATCTGGCGTCTCCCGCCGCATTTTTCCCTCGACACGTTTACGCATATATATGGAGAAATCGTGTACTTTACCCTATACCGCGCGCAATCCACTCTCCAATTCATATTTTTCCGAAGCATCGTCTCCGCTTTTACTCGCGCTGTGCAGTGCATTTACGCGAACCCGTTGATAGAAAGACAAACGGTCGTACGTCACCGCGTAGCAAACCGTGTGCCCGTCTTTTTAAAAATATGCAAATTTCATGCGCGTTACACGTACACACGGCCGCGGCTGGCGTGTTATCTCTGGTAAATGGGGGTCGTCGCCGCTCGCGCGCGAGAGGAGAGAGAAAGCTCGGCGCGCGAGCGAGAAGGTACAAAATATAGCACTTTCGGGAAGCAATCTGCCAGATGGAAGAAAGGTCGCCGGCTAGAACGCGGAAGATGAGAAATTCCACGAGGAATGGAAGAATGTGCCTGAAACCATGGAGCGCGGGCCTGCCGTAGCTCCTCCGATAATGTCGAAACTGCTGGTCTTGGCATACATATACATATATATACGGGCACGTACATACATTCGCATGCACTTCGGGTGCGGGGACACCCGACACACACTCGCAGCACCCAAATGTATCAGCGTTACGTGCGGGCGGGTGCGAAAGTATAAATCGCGGGGCGCACTAAATCAGGAGAGGGACCATCGACAGCACACGTTTTATTCGCGTCGCTCCTTTTTCGTCCGCTCGTCCATTAGAGAAGCCGTAATACAACGTAATCGCCGCGAGCCACGTCAACGTGGGAAAAATTAAAGCCACGACAAACGGCGCGCTTTGACGCGTCGCTGTGACGCGCGCGATTTACGTGTATTTCGAAAATGCTGCCGTAAGAAGTGGATGGTTAAACTTTTCGTCTGCTCACAAGAAAGACCGGGGAAGAGAAACCTCGGTTTGAGGGCCGAGACAGAGTCTCTAGGAGCTAAAACGATCTTAAATGGACACCCTGCGCGAAAGTTTTCGTATTGAAAGACGGCTTCCACGATCTGTCGTCCCCTAAGACGGGATTATACATTTAAAAAGTATGCAAATTCTAGTACAAGCACTCTCCCTACTTACGAACTTCCGTTTCACAAACTTTCGCGAAGAAAATTATAATTCGTCAATGCCAGGCGCTAGCGGCACGGGCGGTCGCTCACACGAGAGAAGATGTAGAATAATTTAATTTTACAATAGAATAGTGCTCGCTTTTCTAATTCCCTGTATGTGTGTAAGCGTGTGCGCTTATCATCTAAATAGAATAGTTATTTCGAGTTATGAAAGACCTCGACTTAAAACAGGCGTGTCCTAAAACAGGCGTGTCGAAAAAAAACGTTTATCCTATGCAAAAGCCCGCTATCTGCAACCAGCTCGTCAATTATCGATCGTTCGGACGTTACGCGAGTGTAGGTACGTTGAACGTATTAAAAATATACGCCGGTATACACATAACCGTAACGACGCGGCGCAGGTCGTATTATGTATTCCGGTTACTGCTTTTGTGATATTACCTCGTGCCGCGGTGCGATATTTTTAGAAGCGCGATAATCCGCCGTCGGCCGTCAAGTGTATTACTTCCACCTAGCTGCCGTGAATTCTTTGTAATTGGATGATAAATTACACCGCGCGCTTTTTTTCCTCTCCCCTCTTTCATCGAACTCCCGTCCCGTAAGCCACCGGTAAGCCGACACGCCGCCGGAGTATCGCAGGCGACCATTAAGAATTCGCATGGGGAAAGCGTTATAAATATATATGCGATATCGTGTATCTCTTGTAACTTTACGCGAACGTATTGACAGCGAGACACCTCGCGCGGATTCGCAACGCGTATCTACAACACGGGGGAGGTGGAGGTATTTTAATCAAAATCCGCAAAACGCAGACCGCGAAATTGGATTCCCCGATACCCGCCGACGACCAGATCCTCGCGCCGCCGTCGAATTCGATTAAGCGATTAAACGTCGCAGATCGAATTCGCGGGAACGCTGACAAAATGCCCGATTACCGGGCTGATTAAGAGCTCCGATTCCGCAAGCTGAGCCTTTCCTTCGATCGGTTCGGATTTCGAGGCTTCGGACGCCCGCACACACCCGGGTTAATTAACTTTTATTTACACTTTGTAATTAACGATCGTAGTGATGAGGCATTCCCGATAATCACGGGCAATTTGAAAGATTTAATTAATCCTCCCCCTCCCCCCCTCCCCCCTCCCCCCGCGAAGATTGGAGACACTGGATAAGCTCGTTTAATTATGATCCATGTGCGTCGCGCATTGTACACGTCGTAATTGAATTTGGCACTCGCGTTTCTTCACGCTCGAATCATGCGAAATAAAAGGGTCGCGAAATAAAAAGTGGAGCAGAGGGGACAGGATGGCGAAAAGATATTGCGTTTTTAACTAAAAAAATGATTTTTCTCCCGGCATTTTCGTCTCGGACACAATTCCGGGACATAACATACGCCCGTTCGTCGCGAGCGCTCTGTTTTCGGGCGCCGAACATTGTCGTTGTTTTCCAATGTCGCGCAAAGAGAATTTGCAAACTTCGCAGATCCACTTACCATCGGTATTACTTATCGGAGGCACGACCGGAACTTCGTAACGACGTTCCAGCCATTATTAGATTCACGTGTCACTCGCGTTACGTGCGAAAGCTCGCGCGAGTGAGATTATTCTGCTGAGAGAAAAGTTAATGGACGATGAACGCGAATCTGGACGGGGCCAGAAACGCTGAGAGGCGTCTCGCGTTTATATCCGCTCCTTCTGTGATGCTAAACGGATCGCTAGGCCGTTAAAAGTGCACTGTATGCGGGGGTTTATCTGTCCGAAACACACGTCCGAAACATTTACCTCCTCCCTCACCCCCCCCCCCTCTCGAATTAGTAGCGAGCTCACGTGATACAAATCCACCGTCCGGTCTGGAGCGAGGGTGATGAGGCTGAGCTCCACATTCACGCTGTTACGCGCGAGTAAGGCAGGGGATATGTGAAGTAAGTTATAATGTATGGTTACAGGTATCGAGAGGGCGCACAAAGAGGCTAGATTAGCGAGCCTGATAGGGGTCGAGGGGGGCCACGCTGTCGGAGCGAGTCTGGCGGTCCTGAGGATGCTGTACGAGCTGGGCGCCAGGTATCTCACCCTCACGCACACGTGCAACACGCCTTGGTGAGTGTGCTAGCGCATAAATGAGAACGTCAACGTGAGAGAGATCGGGCTTTCTAAAGCGATGCACGACACGCAGAAGCAAAAGTATAGGTATAACGCGTTACGTTGACCGTCCCACCGTTACACATGTATCCCAGCTGCAATTTCGTTAGAGATTTTCACCGTTATACGTACAAAGCTCTAAATCAGACTCGGGCTTAAATTTTCAAATCTTAACTCAAGCGACCATAAATTTCCAATCTTGACTCAAGCGACCATAAATTTCCAATCTTGACTCAAACGACTATTTCGTTTAAATCGAGGCGTTAAAAGCGCTAGACGCGATCTTGATCGAAAAATTCACGCTGCCGCACGACGATTTTCCAATGCTAAAATCGACCTCTATATCTATCGAATATATATATATATATTCCATTTTTCGTACATCGGGAATACTTTTGTAGAATTCATTGTTAGAGCGTTGCTTTTACAAGAGAGAGTTCTATAAACGCAGCGTCCATACATAGGCGAGCGAAAAAGAGTCATCGATGGAAAATGTAACTCGCGCGCAACGAAGCCCCGCCCCGCCCCGCTCGGGTCAGAAACTGAAATAAAAATGTATCACTCGCGATCCGCGTTGATGCGTGAATAACGATTATGACGTAGAATTTTATCGTCCGGCTGCTGAAAATGGGCCGCAAGAGCCGCGCGCAATAACGCCGGTCGTCGCGGCAGATGCAATCGCCCAGGTGCCTTTGCACAGGCGGGACTTTTCATCCCCGCGTTTGCCTAGAGCGAAACACACCGCCCGCCGGCGGTAGTAATTCCAAGCCGTACAGTTTCGTTCATTTCTCGTGCATTAAAAGCTATCGCTTTGAACGCGGGCAGTAAAACGTTTAACGTAAACGGATTAAAGTTCCTATAATAGTTCGCGCGCGGACCGTAAGAGATCAACGGCATAACGTTACCGCGGTGCGTTTGTGCAGTAATCCGCAAAATTCGCAGACAGCGTACGCGGAAAGAACAATTTTTGCTGAATCCAGATCTGAAAATAATTTTTGTTTAATAATCAAAATAATTATGTGCGAAAGTCAAAGTGATTGCTAGAATATCAAAACGTTTTATAGCAATGCTTATCAGTTTTAACAAATTATTTTGATGATTCAGCAAAAAATTATTTTCAGATCTGTTTTTAGAAAAATTTTTAGATCTTTCAATAAAATTGTTCTTTCCGTGTAATTTTACGGTATTACCATGGCCTCCCCGGAGCCACGGCCGTATTGAAAAAAGTAAACAATAATTGCAATGTCGAAGGTTGTCCGACTTCGTGAATTAATCTTTTATATTCCAAAACATTTCGGCTGTTCTGTAAAATTTTAATTTCCGTAAAAAATCAACTAAGCGAGCAGGACAATATTGTACTTGTGTATCAATTATTTTAGAAAGAATTTCGAAATTCTTATTTTTCAGACATGTCCGATAGTATTAATTCACCCAATAAAATATTCAGTTATCATTTTATTAATTGCTACTTTTATAAATAAATCAAAAGTAAATTCATCTAGGTCTCAAATGCGTGTCTACATAAAAAAAACGATACATGTATTAAAAAGGGGAAAAAATGTTCTATATTTTAGTAACAAAGTCCATCTTTAAAATTAATTGTACAATATTACCCTACTCCTCGATGGAGTTTAACTCAGAGCAATCATTCTTCCGCGTGTCGAGCTGTTTCGCTTCGGGATAGGGAGAATATCGAGCGGGGACGCGGGATTACGCGAAGATCGCAGGTCGTGCGGGCCAGCTGGTGCAGCGGCAGACGGAGCGTCGAAATATTGCGACAAACAATGGACGTTATAGCGACGGGTGAACCGGTGAACTTTTACGAGACGTCTCTCGACGCGCGGCTGCAAGACGAACGCGATAGAAAGCTTTTCGAACGACGAACTTGATGTATCGCGCGGGAGGTATCGCGCATTCCGACGCGCCCCGTTCCCCTGCGCAAGTGCCGCGGGGATGAGCGCGCCCTGATCGATCTGACTCGCCCGCTTTCGGCTTTCGATTTTACGGCATCGCGCTCTGTTTTACGACGTCGCGATGAAGAATCGCTGCTCTATTATAGATAAATTTCGTCGCGTTATCGCGTTTACGGCCGGAATGGATCTGTATTTTTCTTCTGACCTCTCTTCTCGCCACCTCTCGTGAAGTTTTTCGACAAAGATTTTTTATCAAGACCGACGCGATACACGAATTTCTGGTTAATTAACGCACGGAAAGAACAATTTTGTTGAATTCAGATCTGAAAATAATTTTTGTTCAATAATCAAAATAATTTTGTGCAAAAGTCAAAATGATTGCTAGAATATCAAACCATTTTATAGTAATGCTTATCAGTTTTAACTTTGCAACAAATTATTTTGATGATTTAACAAACAATTATTTTCAGATCTGTTTTCAGCCAAATTTTTAGACCTTTCGACAAAATCATTCATTCCGTGCGGCAATTGTTTGGAATTCTGTGCATAAATTCCTTTGCAATCTAATACTGCTGTTATTTAGAGATTACATGCAGATTAAATTCACGCATATTACTCCGCATTTTACTCAATTAAATAACATGTTCATCGCATACTCGTTTTGTTCGAAATTAATTCAAAGGGTAATTTACGAAGGGTAATATAAAACGAGGTACGATTACTTAAAATACCGTGTTTTAAAACATTCTCAGTAATATTTTCGTATAACTGAGAATAAAAGGGAATTTCAGGGGCTATTTCGTCGAATAATACTTTTCGTTATTACGCCGACGTATAATGAGGGACACGCAAGACGGCGATCAACTCGCTCAGCTCATTTTACGAGTATATTTAACCCGGGATAGCCTAAGGATAATGCGCCACGTGAAAAATACGCGCGAAGCCACGCGTCGATAAAAATCGTCAACAATAGGAGCGTCGCCGAGCGCGCATTGCGCGATTTATTTCCGGTCGCGGCGGTCGGGTATATACGCGCGACAGCCGTTATATTTCACGCACCCCTGCTTGCGCTCGTCCGTTGCTTTGCAATTAAATCTCGCGTGTAACATGATAAATCCCGTGCGGATTAATGTATATTGTAGCAATATTATACGCGTCCGTCGAACACCCGGTATTTTACGATAGATAGGGCGATTACGACGCGCGCGGTCAAACAAAAATGCAGCCAGCGGATCCCGCTTCCCCGCCCCCGGCGGCGTTGTCGCTGTCGCGCCTCTCCAGGCGCGACCATAAATCCGCGAAATCGCGGTTGGCGCGCGATTCGACAGGTGCCCGATCGTTGAGTCCGGCGCGATTAAGTTCGACGCGGCGGAACGTACGACGACGGCCAGCCACCGTGGTAGGTGCAGCTTCGACTGGTCACTCGAAGCGAAACGAGAGGGAAAGCCGCGAGATTTAATGGCGCGTGCCCGCGTCGTCGTCGTCGGTCGTCGTACGCAATTAAATCCGATGCGGCGGTGCGGCTAAAACTCTCGTTGGCCGACTCTCGGGAGTCGAGTCGAGTCGAGTCGAGTCGGCTTGGAGTCGAGGGTAGCAACGCGATGGCCGATTATGGGCACACGGTTATCGATTATCGCTCCCATTATTGCCACCGCATCATTGCGCTATTCGCGCACGGCTTTAGAGGATACGGCGCTAATGCGCACGATTGTCAGCGTGGTATTACCTCGAGTCCTCGAGCTGACGCCTAAAGCACGTCGTACGTCTCGCATAATCCCTTCTACATAAGATATTTAACTCCCCTCCCCCTTCCCCCCCATACAAACATACACATCGCCGACGGTTGTTATCGCGATTAATTGTGTGCTCTGGGAGAATTGGGATGGCGTCACGTGACTAAAAGACATGTGTACCGAGGAAAATGACTTCTTCGAGAAAGCACATTAGGGAAATCTATTTCTCTCAGCGTTGACACCGAGCGCGAAAAGTGCAACGAACGCTTTCTTTTGCATAAAAGCCATTGCATTCAATTCAACGGAACATAATTTATTCGCGCGTTACGCGACAGATTCCAATTATCAATATATTATGCTGCACGAAAATACACTGTCGATCCTATCAATGGTCCATAGAGAGATGTTCGTAATTATTCCGTGATAGAACCGCAAAAATTGAGGATTAAAAGAAATATTACGGGCAGTCTATATCGATTTTTTTTTTATAAAACCAAAAGACGATTAAGTTTTTGCAAAACTATGAATTACTCGGCCTATTCTCTCTTAGCCTATTGGTTTTGAAAAAAAACTGAGTAGGCAGCGTGTAACATTTTTATCTATAGTAGCCTGTGGAGCTGTGTGAAGTTGGCCCACTATACTAAAAATCCACGAACGACCATTAGATACCACTCGATTGATAGTCGTTTGATAAGTATTTATGGTAGTCCATTCTTGATGATTGATAAATCATCGTAAAAGTTGTAAATAATAATGTGAAAAAAGATTCCTTTTTCTCTTAATCATTGTAAAAAACATGTTTCGACATATCTGTTGATTACAAAAGATATTGTTAGCAATATTACAATATTTTGTTAAACAAAAACTGATACCTGAAAGAAAAAAATAAAACGAGAAATGGGAGTCATCAACTTAACATGCCTTTTTTTTTAGATAGGAGGATTATTTACAACTTTGACTACCAATCATCGGGAATGGACTACTAAATACTATCAAACGACCACCAATCGAGTGGTAATGGTCGTTAGTGGATTTTCAATAGTGAGGGGGGCCGACTTCATACAGTTAGCCTCCAGTCTGTGTGTCTACATGAAAATATTCTCCACTTTATAAATACATAAATCGAAAGATTGAAGGTATCGATAATAATTAGTGAGACACTTATAGATCTACTTTGCAAAAGCATATATCGTATTTCAATGAAAGCCATTGTGTGTAATGTAAATTTAATGAAGTCGCGTACTAGAATATTCCCGAGATCATTCGGAATAGAAACGAGTTAGTTGCGGTATGATTGCGAACTAGCTATTGTGGCTCGCCGCGAGCTGCTGTCCCGTGAATAATACCATTGTCGTTATCGTTAGCATTACGGGGGCGTGGAAACCTGTGATTAGAGGGAATTCTATCGCAATAACATTCACGATTGTAACTACTGAGTTACTGACCTGTTGGTTCGTTAGGGCAGACTGCAGCACGGCGGACGAACCCGGTCAAGTGCCTCAAATCGGCGGTCTCTCGAATTTCGGCAAGGTGAGTACGAAAGAAAAATATTTTGCAAGCTTATATTACTTTAATATTACACCATTATTACTTATTGTACTCCATCCTCTTCTATTTGTGAAGATGTGAAACCCAATGTCGAATAGAGTGTGTTACGTAAACGATAATAATGTGCTGTTATTCGTATGATAATATTCATAATATTCCATACTTTTTGAATTCCTCGCTAAGTTCGTGAGATTTTGCGAGGCCGCAAACGCGCATTCCGATTATGGCATCGAACGCGATTTTATGGAACACGCGTAACCCTCCATAAATCTATTGCACTCTATAAAATTATTCTCGCAAAACTATCGTGCATCTTCGTCATATACGCGATGTAAAAAAAAAAGGTTGCAACCAGCGCTATCAATTCCGCTCGCTATTATTTATGAGGCAGTCGCGCGTAAAATGGAATTGGAAAAAAAAACGTAGGTGTTCGCTTATTGAAATGCAATACAATTTGATTGCATTTCTTTTCGACACAAATCTCTCGAAATTTTCCGGATTAACAGCTTCAAAGTTCGATTATGGTGTCAAACAGAATTAAAACACACTTTCCGTCCGCTCTCTGCTCGTTGCGACAGAATGACCGATTTTGACCGCGTCACAGCCATATTCAACTGAGAGTTTAATCGTAAATCTGGTGTGTTCTCTGCGCACCGCTTGTATCGACGTGTCGTCCATAAATATACGGATTTCAATGAGAATTTAAACGAAAAATGGTTTCACCAAAGTGGAACCGAAATGTTTTTGGTTCAATCGGAGATCCATCGGGAACGGTGATATCGGATTTATTGCCGCGGTGATTTCGCTAGGAGAGGGGAGGGGGAGATCTGTACCTATACATACAGGAAAAACTGACGTTATAACGCAGTAATAGCGTCAAATCTTACGAGATAGGTTCATTCTCCCGTTGCCTATCTCGTCGCGAGAACAATAAAATTAATAAGTTGCCACACATTTGTCAATTTTAAATTTACAAATTAATGTCATACTTTTATCAGTTTAACAATCATTATTTTGCTCGTCTTTGGCCATTTCAATATACATAGTATAACAATAATATGCAGAACTTTTAATTTGATTGAAATTAACGTTAATGCGATATGTGTTAGTGCCGTATTTTACTCTGAATATATTGCTTATCACCAATGGAAAATTGAGCAGAAACCGTAATTTGACGCCATACTTTTAATGGAATTACAATTGTAGATAAATTATACGTTTCGCGTAATTAACAAGTAATTATTTAATGTAACCTGTCAATGGCCACTTTCGGCACTTTAAAAGTGTTTGGAAAACAAACCGTTGAATTTCATGGAAACTAGATTTCGAACAATCTACCGATCGGGCTGATCCTCTGAAAACTACTAAAATGGATGGAGCATGTTTCGAAGTTCTACAGCACCATTGTTCGCCTACATGACGAAGGACGGTTAGTCCAACGGATTAGTGGTCGTTTCCAAATTCACTTCAACTCCCTGATACGCCGGCTCTGTCCATTACTGTTAAAGTAGCTACTTAACTTTTAATATGTAAATTTCATCGCCGAGAACTTTAAGAGCATTATATCCTTCGCTTCATAAAGGCTGGGGATATTTTGAGAGGGATACATTTTGAATAACTCGGGTTTATTAAAACACTCGGCAAGATACACCGGGGAAAGTGTATTACGAAAATTTATCTTAACAACAGCAAAATACGTGCTGTCAGAGAAGATGCTCGGAGAAGAAGATAATTAAAACAAGCGACGCGCGATTTTGACGAATAATTGCACGCGCGGTGATACCCCCCCGTGTTAGTTTTGTAGAGGGGGGCGGGGGGGAGAGCGGAGTTAACTCTTTGAATACCGGTCCATTCGTAAACGAATGACGCCGTTTCCAAAGGCAATCACTTAAGAGCAATGCCGCCTCTCACCTTTCAAGGATATATCTTCCGCTTGTCAAACTTTAAGTTTCTCGCGAAAGTGTCACGTAGAAGGGTCGTTGCGAAACTTCACACTGGGGAATAGTCTGAGCAACAGGGATGTCACTCGACAGTCTTCATCGATTCGAATGAGCTTGGGAAACAGTAACAATAAACTTTCCTCCAGTGCCATTGCCGAGTTGTGAAATTGCGGTAATTGATCCAGTTCCATTTGTGCCATTAGTGTTGTCTCGGGAAGTGGCTCATTGAATTTATTTCGATTATCGAAAAGCGGAACTAAATTTACCGGTAAATTGGCATTATAGACTCGTTCCGAGCCGGAGGAAGCGCCCGTAAGTTTCCTTCCTTTTTATATTTTTGTATTCTTAATTGATTCAATAGCCGTTTAATTTGCTCGAAGAGCAGTACTTTCGCGCTCTGGGTTTCCAATTAATCGTTCTCCACGTAGTCTTAATCATCGTAGATGTTCCGTAACAGAAATTTTGATTGTGTTTGCGACAGTGGTATGGTTAAGTCCTTGCCGATCAAGGAGGAATTGAATTTGCACCACGGTGATGCTTCGAGCTGTTAGTTGCACGCTCAAACAGAGCTCTAAGAACTTTATCGCCGGTGAGTGCGGGGAACTACCTAAGCCCTCTTGTTCCATTATCGATAGGACTGCGTTAGGAACGATGTTTAATCAAATCATAACGTCTGTGCAGCGGTTGTCTTCCTTCCATTCTCGATTAACTTTAAAAACTTTGCGCGCGCACACACGATATCCATACAATTTTATTTTCGAGTCTCGTATATATTCAAAGAGTCTCCCTCTTTTACATTTCTACAAAGTAGAATAGCATTGGTCGTTCTAATTGCTTAAAGAATTGCCGCTTAAATTCATACCGACAAGTCTACGGCGTGTCTGCAGAAATAAAGTACGTGTCACTCGTTGCAAACGACGACGGAGGAATTTTCTCAATTTCTTTCTGTTCACAAGAAATGCACTTGCTAGTTCATTCATATTTTATGTGTAGAGTAAGACCGGTCTTTCCCATCGCGCGTTTATCCATCTGTACTGTCGGATATCATTTGTCGTTCTTCAATGCGCGGTCAGAAGCAGGAAGTAGAAAGTGAGAGAGGGGGAGAAAGAGAGAGAGTCGCAGACGATCCCAGGGGCATTTTTCGACGGCCGAAGACGCATGCGAATGACTTTAGGGATGTTGGTACAAGTGTAAACCAACCGCGGACGAAGAAATTGCTCAAATATTCAGTGGAAATGGCGCGACGATGCACCGACCCCTTATCCTTTTGGGACAAAAAGAGATTTATCGCGTCTAACTCGATGCAAGCGCGCGTCTCAAGACGTTAAGTAAAGCCTCGCTTAAGCATCTTCGTGATGATTTTCATTTTCTAACGGCTGAAGCAGTCCCGATGTAGGTCTAGGACGCAGACCTATTAAATCTGCGGTAGATAAGGATGAAGGTGAGCTCGCGCTGTGTGTGCGCGCGGCCGTAAGGTACATCAGGATATATATTTTTCCATTTGCCTTTTAGATTTGCTAGTACGCTATGCAGCGTAGATTGCATTTGGTCCAAATTGTCGGAAACGAAAACAAACGGGATTGCTAACCGTGACAGATGTTGCGATTACGTAACACCATACACTCCTCGGTTGACTCCATCGCAATGAGCATTTCGCGTCACGTTCTCATGGTACTTTAAACCGGTATTCTGTAGATTCGCATCTTATTCCACGTGCGGAACGTAAGGTAGAAAATCCCGGATCCTCGGTAGGCGGCGCCGCGGACGTGCACGATTAAAAATTCATAGAAAATCTTCGAGTCGGTACGATTTTACGGAATCTTGGATTTACCCTGAACTTCCGGGAAAAGTTCGATTGCATTAGTCCGATTGTATCGCTATGGGAATCGGTTTTCGTGCGCAAAACTTTCTTGATCGCCCAGAGAGATCGTTTCAATATACACAAATAGATTATTCAAAAAGAAATATCTTATTTTTTTTTTATGAGTCACTGTATTCTAAGAAAATTCCATCTTACTTCTCTGCAGGTATATATGTATGTATGATAATATTACAAAATTGAATAGTTTCCTGAAATCTCTTATAAATACTGCAAAAATTAATAGAGAAAAGAGGCTAATGAGGATCAAGTGCGAAACTCAGTGCGAAACTTTTTAATCCTATTAATTTTTTTTTTTAATTTCAAGATCCCTATTAATTTTTAAATATTACAAAATTATCGTGACATCGCATCCGAGCATTGGAGTGAATTAACGCCGGCATTGAAAGGGTTAAAGTAGAATTACGTGTAACTTTTTTTCCCGCGGGTTACGCGGCTCGAGTTTACAATTATTAATGCGAAAGAAAACATTAACCGTGACGAATCCCTCTTTGTTCCTAAAAAGCTCCGTCCGCTTCTAACGGCCGAAGCCACTTTCGTCCCGCCATTCGGGAAAATACCAACGACGTGCTTCCCAGACGTTCGTCGAAAGCCGCAGTGTGCTTTCGCCGGCGCGAAGGAGAGACAGAAGGGGGAGAGGAGGGCATGCAACGGCAACTGAAACGGACCACTTCCGTCGACGTGCGGAATTTACATTGCTCGCATATTCGTAGGCGAGTTAACGCGACTCGTCGTTGTCGTCGTTGCCGTCGGTGGTTCTCGGATTCGCCGGTGAAACAAGACAAGCACGACTCGTTTTTCACGATAGCGTAAAACCGGAAAACCGCGTACCGCGATAATAGAATGCATTTCGATAGCGATCCTTTTTTCCTGGGAAACAAACGAGAAGCACGAAGATTTGATTGTTCTGCGGCTAATGCAAAGAGCATTGATATTTATTGATGCAATATCATAGAAACCGACGGGAGAACCGCGCTACAGCAATGGGGCTTTTAATAAAGAGAATAAAGAAAATTATTTAATAGAAATCTCCACGTTCGTTGAGGAAAATATATAACATTGTAGATGTATATTTTTTAGAAAAAAATATTATATTAAATTTTTGCGTAAACTTTCAGAAAATTTTATTTAATTACGTACTTTTTAGATTATGTATTTTGCGA